TTTCGACAGTGTCTGCCGGCCCAGCTCATAGATCTCACCTTCCAGGACTGTCTCAACGGATGACCCCCCCCACCAAACGCTGGCTAGTGCAGCTACAGCAGAATCTCGCCGACACCACTCCAGATGCCAGTGGGAACAGGCCCCTCTAAACGTGTGTGTGTGTGTGTGCAATCTGCAAGAATGTGAGGACAGAGTGCATGGAGGTGTTGCTGTTAACGGTGCCGTTACTGTGGTTCAAATCTGATCCTGGACTTACATTGTTATTGATTTTAAGCCTTGCCCCCGACCCTTGTTATGGGATTTGAAATTATTGTTTTGATCGCTTAAAAACTTCTGAGTTGTATTAAAGTTCACTGCTCTCAGATGTCAAACAGAAGAAAGGAAGTTTGTGGGTGTGTGTAGTGTGGAAGAGTATGCTTTTCTATATGATGTGATATATGCAGGAATATGGAATACTCCCAGCTGCTCACACACACACACACACACACACACACCACCACCACCACCACCATCACCACACACAATAGCACTACTCACAGTTGCACGTTATTTTTTAATAAGTCGCAGATCAGGGTTGAGAGAGACTGGGTGCATTTGATTTATTTGATTTATTTGATTTATTTGACAATGCCAATAACCCCTCCTGCCCTTTCTTTTCTTTATAAAATAAGCTTCTACTTCTATGAGATTAAATAACATTAACTGCCGCTTCTGCTGAGCTGCCATACTTTATTATGCGACCATATATTTTTTGTATTATTATTATTATTATTATTATTATTATTATTATTATTATTACTATTATTATCATTACAGGTACATGTATTATTATTATTATTATTATTATTATTATTATTATTATTATTATTATTATTATTATTATTATTATTACCGGTATCATTATTATGTTCACTAGGACGTTCATATAATTTGTTCAGCGGCTTCGACATTATTATTATTATTATTATTATTATTATTATTATTATTATTATTATTATTATTATTATTATTATTATTATTATTATGTTCACTTGGAAGTCAAGTGTCCTTGGCGTTCACATAATTTGCTCAGTGGCTTCGACTTGTTGACTTAATTAGTCTTGGTCGAGTCTTTCAGATCCATTATTATGGTGGGCAGTCTGTCCCACTATAAACATTGAATAAAAACCTTTAATAACCATCTTAAATTTACTGAACTTCTTCAGCTGCACCTGGATCAAGGCATAAAAAAATAAAGTTTTAATTCCGCTATCCTCGGCCTGGATCTTACTTTAACCAGAGACCTAGCAATGTTCTCTGCTATAACGTTGAAGCTAATCCACAAGCCATCCGACTTTTTCTTATTCGACCATTCGATGGGAAATTGTATTATGCGTTTCATATGCTCGGAAAAGACACGTATGAATTTTGACTAGCAATTCGTTAAAAAGTAGAAGGAAAGGCACTAGAAAACGTTATCTTGGGAGTATAATTGACAGAGAGGGAGGAACAGGTGCTGAAATAAAGTCCCGCATTGGAAAAGCACAGGCTGCTTTCCAAGCATTTGCGTTTGTCGCGGCCGCGATTCGCGCGTCGCGCCCGCCATTTTTGGCATTTTTTAGTCCGCGAATCGCGCCGCGATTTTTGCATAGATATCTATATATTAAAAAAAAGACAAAACAACAAAGCTACTTCATAACATATTAGACATGTACAGGGGCGAAGCGTCTATATAATCAAATAATCACTGCTTCCCTTCCTAATTTTGAAACATTGTCGCTGTCAAATTCATCCATAAATGTAAACCTCTTAAATTAAATGTCAAAAGACGTTCGTAATCAACAATGAACAGTATGCCTAACATTCAAAACGGTTTCACGGCCACAGAAATAGCCTCCTCACCCCTCTCGGGCCACTCCATAAGCAGTCGCAAGCTTTGATTAAGTAAGCTTAAAGTGAGGCTGGAAGAGTCCACCAATATAGTTGAAGGGAACATGTGCATAGCAGTTTAAGCTGTTTCATTGCCACATATACCCTGTTCACCCCTTTGGGGTCACAGTTAAAATCAATCTCAAGCCCTGATTATGTAAGCTAACTAACACTGGTCGAGTCTAGCTCACAAATGTGAGGGGAACTAACTCCTAACAATCTCTTCACTGTTGCAAGTGCTTGCTTTTTTTCCTCGACTTTTTACCGTCCTATAATCAGATCGTGACCTCGATTATGACACCAGCTCCTGGCCGCGGAAGGCGAACAAAAACAGCCAAATGTAAAATTTAAAAAATGATAATTGTCATGTTCTACCAAAGAGTTAGACTCCCTGGTAGACCTATAACATATAGATCTAGTACTGACGTCTCTGCTTCTTTGCTTTGTGTTTATGTATTCACATCTAAAGTTAAATTTAATTTTAGTTGGAACTGATATTTAATAAGATACTTTCCCGATTATTTGGGCGGTTGAACATACAATATGAATTCCGGATTTGTTTTCATTCACAACTCAGAGTCGCCGCCTCGAGTAAGATTCTTGTGTCATATCTACAGGCCATATCTGGTCCCGTT